TATTCTAATTGGTTTACTTCACCAGTGCTGCAATTAAGTAAGGTGAACAGTTCCCTCCTCATCTTCTTCCCCCCAAACTAATACTCTCCATACAGTTAATCTTGGGCCAGAAGAGTACTTTAGAACATTTACTGCAATACCATGTACCTACGTTTCCTACATCTGTCACCCTTATTAACACTGTTTGCCTCACTCCTTCTTTCCCTATTTTCTTTGTATTGTAATACCCACCAAGTACATTTGAGCATCTGTTTGGGGCATGTACTCTTCTGTACATTCTGTAGCTGTCTGATGTAGCTTTATTTCTCATATTCCTAAAGACTTTATCAATGTGTAAAACAGTGGGTAAATTTTTCCTTTTTGCTAATCTTTTCTGTATCAGTGGTGGCAATTAAGTGCACAGATATCTGTGGAAGAACAACTTGACTAAATCCCTTTGACTTTTGCTGTTATCAGCTGTTCTTTATTTCAGGCATAATGATTAAACAACAAAAAAGTGATTGCACAGAACACATCAGAAATCGAAATACGAGGATTAGCTGGCACCACAGCTCACAAAAGAATTAACTGACAATGTTGCATGACCCAAAGCATTTCACTATCTGTACTTTGCAACACATGGAAGAGCACACTAAAGAGATAAAAGAGAAACAAAAACAATAAAATCCATGTTAGCTGTGGGTCAGCTGGAAAATAATATTGCTTGTAGCAATAAGCTCTGAGATCAAGTGATGAATTTGGTTCTTTTAAAAATCAAAAGGTATGAGCACAGTAACACTAATTTGTCAGTGTGTGCTTTCAAAAACATGAATAGGAATTTAGAGCTAAGTTCTAAGGTAGAAATGCAAGAGAATTAAGCTGATGAAAGACTTCAGTTTTTATCTTTCTTATCTTTCCTTGGATAACCTCTGGATTGGAGCCATCACTGATGTCATCCAAGTTGAAAACCTTGGACTGTTGCCTCTTAAAATGTCGTTACTATCCTGGACAGATGTTGGAAAGTCTCTTTATGTCTTAAAAAGGAAAAAAAAAAAAATCAAGGATTTGCTATTTGGAAATGTTATATGTTGATATATGTCAGGTCAACATCCAGCAGATTAATTCCACCACTGCACAGTGGGAAGAAAACCAAGAACCCCCCAAGCTCTGCCCCCCTTTTCAGTTTCCTGTTGTTACTGAAGTCTGTCCTACTAAATTGGCACGTGAGGATTTCTGATCTCTAATGAGGACTGGGAGTTTACACAGGAATGAAGAGTAATGTGACTGAAAATAATACATGGAATGAGTATACAGAAATAGAATAAGAAAAACTAATGAACGTGACAGAACAAAAAGACCAGAAAAAAGATCATCAGGAGTGTTTATATACCTTTAAAAAAAAGTATTTACAAGGTATCCTTCTACTGGATGTGTTTCCCTTTATAAATTTCAATCATATTTATCAGTCTGCAATTAGTATTTATTGCATCACTGATTTTAGTATTTTCCATTTACCAAAGTCACTTAGTGCATTTTTAATAGAGTCAAAAAGTACCAAGATAAGAATACTAATCTGCATGTCAGAAACTTTGCTGGTTTAATCCTTGTTTGATTCCAGTACAGCAAATGCTATTCCTCATTGTTTTACAGCCAGAACAAACAACATTAAAAAAAATTCAGTTACGTGTCAGGTGACTTAAGAATATTTTTTTACTTCTTCTGGTACTCTGATGTTGTAGCTTTTCATATACCACTATTAATGGATGTGTCTGAGCATAAGAAAGGCTGCATCAAATTAAATCATGTATGAGGCCAAAAACATACTCATCTTCAAGCGCTGCTTTGTTGATATGTTCGAAGATCTTTAAGGGTTCTGAACTCATGTTGCTTCTCAAAACCATGACAGCATCAGTTATTTGAATGTCATAAAAATAAAATACATTAAAAAAATCCTTTGTAAGGAGTCTTAGACTTCTATGGTGAAAATAAAGCAATCAAATTGTGGACTATCAAATGAAAATCAAGTCAAAATTTATTTTGATGTTTAGTTACACTACAAAATTCTTATTACTCTCAAAATTATGAATTATTAAAACTTCAAATATACGAAGATTCATCCATTTCATGTTAATTCTGACTACTGACAAATCACAACTTACTTACTAAAGGATTCTACATATGTAAGCTGTAGTTAACTAAAAATTTTACTGCATGTTTACTTATATTAGCTTTGAACTCCTTTGTATCTCCCTATAAGATACTACAGTGTAGAATTAAAGTGAAAAGTGTGGCAACTCCTGGTTAGTGCAATTTGCATTTAATTTCCAGTGTCTGAAGAGTTTAAACCCGTTGCAAATTCTAGAAAATAGTATTCTCAGGCAAAGCTTTGGGCTGTATACACTTGGTAATTTTCCTTTTTACTTGTTCTGTGACCTGAAGGTAGAGTTATTTGAAATACTTCCTGTATTATTACATAAAAGGGTTCTAAGGATGGTATCCTGCAGTCAGTATTTGCCCAGTTAGTGTCTACTGTTTCCTCTCTGCTGCTCTGTTACCTTTCTTGGGCAGAGACACACTCTTCAAGACAAGAATGAAAAAACCTCTCTCATTCACCTGCTCAGTTAGAAAGGACAGAAAGGACAGAATACATTTCTGAATGAGGTCTTTACAAAGGGATGTAGTTAATTTTTCTCAGTTCAGCCCCGAAATTGGACAAACGGAAAAAAAAAATAAATAAAAGGGACAGTGATGGTTAAATGCCACTTGTTTGCAGGCTCATGTTTGTCAGAGTCTGGGTGGATTCAGAGGACAGTTTACAGAGATTTAATTTACGGTTTAAACACAAGCAGTTTGATTACTGACATAGCCAATCCCTACTGTCTTGCTTTTGTTGCAGTCTAAGCAGATGAGTCTTTTTTTGTGTGTGGAAGAAAGACAACTGCTTCTGGATGAGACAAAAAGAAGATAAAGACTGCCACCTATTGCATTACAAAATAAAGCACAGTTTCTGCATACAGGAAGACAACATGCTGGCAACCCAGTGACTGAAAAAAACCCTCCGAACTAACAAGGCAGAACTTTCTCCTCTATGAGCTGCTTAATGCTTTAAAGTAGATTTCTTTTCTTCTGACTGCCCTGAGTTCAGCGTGGTAGCCGTCTCTATCACTTTTCCAATAAAAAGGTTTTGGTTCCTCTAACATATAACTTTTTATCTAAGTGTGATGCATCTTGGCTCTATGCCTAATTTATAAATTGAAAGACTTTTCTACATTCAGCCTCAACAAATCAAATTCATTGAAGGTATAAAATACCTAGGTGAGGTATTTAGTTACAAGACGTATTTGCATCCTTTTCAGGGTAAGTTTATGTACATGAATTCTTTTACTTATTTACAGGGGAGGCAAGAAAAAATTCTGTGTTCTTTGTCCTTGTCTGAATATTCATCTTTACCTTGTCATCATCATGGAATTGTCTTTTACACATATAAAACTATTGAAGCCCAGTAAAATCACATGGGTGCTGAAGAGAAAAATGGGCAGATATTGTGAAAATTTTGACCTAGAACACTATTAAATATAGGTCAGTCAACAAAGTGTACTGAAAGGAATACAACATCATTTACACAGAGGGGAGACAAGGTGACCTGATTACATACTGTTAATTTTTCATTCCTTTCACACTACAGTACAAACAAGACTCTTGACCATCTGTTGAGTACTACTGGAAATCAGCCTACATTTTTCATAAAACTAACAGCAAGAACACAACAAAAGAAAAATCTAGTGTCACCAAATAATGAGCCTTTGACTGCTTAGCTGAACTGTCTGGGAGGCCAAACTTGGGCCTCAGAGACTTGATTCCTGAGTAGACTTGCAATGCACTGTTCCAGCCCTATTGCACTGCAGAGCCAATATGGTATAACCTCTCTATTTTACCCTGATATTTTTTGAGCAGAAAAGGCTATTGGCTGAAATTAACACTGTCTGCATAGGTAAGTTTTTTAATGAAAGTCATTCATATTAAATACCATAAGGTTTCCTCTATGTTTAATACAAAATGTCAAGAATAAATATATTAAAAACAAATAATCTGAATTCCCAACTTTAAAGTTCAATTTATGATTATCTAGTGTGGCCTTTGTAAGAGATGCATAGATATTCTGGGAATTTCTACATCAAGCCAGTACGTTCTGAGACAAAGTACTCAAAGACTTTTGATCTGGATATAATGACACTATCAGAAGGACACTATCTACCAACTATATGCCTGGGTAGACTAACTCCCTATATGTCCTGTTAGAGTTTTTACTGTTCATCATTCCCAGTTTAAATATGCTTAACTTCATGTCACAGAAATGTTTAACTGCTACAAAGTTCCACGAGTGAATGAATTCCCGTAACACTAAAAGTTAGAAGCTTATATATTGCTACAAAATTTTTAAAATATGATGAAAAAGATGTAAAAACTGACAAGTTAAAGAAAAAAAAGTTGTTTCTTCTGTTATATAAGATTGCCAAACTGCATAGTATTAATGAAACATATAGGCTACAGAAATTTTCAGTCAGTATTACATTCAAACAGCCAGCACTCATGCCCTGATTTATAGCTCAATGCAGTATAACAGAATTTGCAGCAACCTGCACAGCCTAGACAATTGTATCAGGAACAGGGCAAAATCTGTCTCATTGCCAACAGCTTCTCTGCCCTGGGCCAAAGTGCGCTTTTGTTTTTTTTTCTGGTATTTGCTGCCATCTCATGTATTTTAAGAAGTACTGCAGTGGAATTCTAGAAGTGAATGTTTTATACCTCAAAAGTATGCTACTGCAATGTTAAACAAATATGTTACTTAAAATTCTGGAAAGGTTTTTGTTATTTCTACATGATATGGAAGTAACCTATATTCAAAACCAAAATGAAATATTCTGCACCAATCTGGGTGAAATAACATGTGAAATAACCGGTTTTCAGCTTCTCAGTGTATGAAAGACATTGACATACTTCCAGACTTCAAGGAGAAGGCCAGAAGATTTTCAAGGGCTGGAGAATATCACCAATAAGGAGCGCCTGTAGGTTTGTTCAGCTTTAAGAGGACGAGGCTTCAGGGTGACCTTATTGCTATCCACCATTAATTACCCAGTGGGAGGACATAGAAAAGATGCTGTGCTGCCCAAGCAGCTCTTCTTTGCAAGCTGCTTCTCTTGAGAGCTTACAGTGCTGTGATGTTATCTTGCAGACAACTGCAATAACAAAGTCTCCAAGACATGGAAAAAGATTCACTATCTCTGGCAGACACAGGATTGAAACTTGGACCACACTATCTGACTCCTTGGAAAAACACAGTGATAGGACAAGACAAACACATTAACTGCAATAGAGGAAATTCAGGGTATATTAAGGAAAAAAGGAAATAAGTTTTCACCATGAGTGGTAAAACACTGAAACAGGGACCCAGAGGTGTCATGGAAGACAAACTCACAACTTAAACAGATGTCAACTCCTCAAATCAGGAATGCCTTGTGACTCTGGGAAAGGAGGAGAAAGAGAGAATATACACTATGACACAGCAGAAAGGCCATTTTTTGGTCAGAATGTTGTGCTGCCTAGATACTGCATCACCATAAAAAGCAAGTAAGGGAACTTACAGGTTACATCCTTTTCTCTTGGTGCTTGCAGTCACGTGACCAGGGTTTTTGTTAGTAGCCAACACTAACCTAAAGACATAGTCCAAAACATAAAAGGCAGGAATAAAGTGCAGAAAAGCTTACTTAAACCTCAGTAAGAAAAAGATTCTTCATGCCAGCTAGAACCTGTCAGCAAACTAACAGGGGCTTTGAGATGAACCCACTAAAGGTGATCTGTGAGTGCTGAAAGCACTGTGCCAGAGCAACTTAATAAAGCCAAAATGTTGATCTATTAAAAATGCATAAGTACATAACTACTCTGAAGAAGGCCAGTGTTCTTACTTCCATCTATCAATACAGAAATACTGAGCTACTGGCTTTGAAAAATGATGTCAAGGCGTAATTTCCATAGCCACAGCATGATGAGGATTAATGCTCTCAGACTATTCATGTGCACCCTCAGTCCACTCCTTGGGACTGCTGAGCCAGTGGCACTGACACGTGTATGCTTTGGCAATACTGTAACACTCTCCAGGCACTTAAGGGCCTGACAAAGACTTGTAACCTGAAAGAAGAACAGATGAGGAGAGGTGCTGACTCAACACTTTCAAGAGTTACTGCTCTACTTTTTCTTATACAAGTACTTACCTTGAGTCTTAGAGATCACATCTGAAAACAATGCAAAATCATCAATCTTTTGTGCTTTGTATATGAATCATCAAGAAGACAAACTGAATGAGAAACTACATTAACATGCCTGTTTTCCTGTAAGCATTAAACAAACATTTTATTAACACGCTCCACCTGCCAAAGGCTTGAGCAAGAAGGCAAAAAACTCCCTCTGTTTCTCCTATTCATATTCAGTGAAACAAAATTTCTTTCCTTAGGCAGATGAAGATGACTCATTTTAGACACTCCTGGACATAGCAGTGCCATACAGAGATATTCAGAGATACAATTGCATGAGCATTCTTAACAAGTAGTACCGTTTTCAAGTGACAAAAAGCCATGAATGTATCTGAGCACAGCATAGTTATAGCATTAGACATGTTCCTTTAAAAAAAAATCCAATAAAATTTTGGTATTTTCAGGTTTCTTTAATATTGAAAAAGGTTTTGGTGCTCAAAGATATACTGAAGTATAAAGACTTTTTTAACATAGTAGGTATTCTTGAAGAAGGACTGAAAAGGACTTGTTTTTCAGTTATCTTTTGGTCTCTTTTCACTATTTTCTTGAACATAGCAACCAGAAGCCTAAATGAAAGATTAAGAGAGATTACTGATGAGAAGAAAAGTCAAAGCATATCACACAGTGATTAAACCACAGACTGATTTATTTTATCAACAGTCTGAACAGTCAAAATTATACTGTACCATGGCACTTCAGAACGTAAACACAAACACATTGAGCATTTTGGGCCTTTGTCACCAAAATCAACATTAGTTTTGCAAACAAAATCACTTTCATACAGCGGTACTGACGGATACGGGACATGGTGGTTCAAAGGAGATTAATTAGGATAATCAATTCGACCTTGCAGCATGCTCTAACAGAGTCACCATTCCTATGGACCTGAAAGGTCCTGCCTGTTCAGCGTTACTGAGGTTATAGCAGAAGGAACTTGGCATGAATTTGTTCACAGAAAGTGATCAGGCATTTGAACGGACTGCCCAGAGAAGTGTTGGAGTCACAGGCCCCGGAGGTGTTAAGGAAGGACGCGCTGTGGCACTTAGTGCCTTGGTCTAGTTGACACGGTGGTGTTCGGTCATAGGCTGGACTCGACGATTTCAGGTCGTTTCCAACCCAACTGATCCCGTGATTCTGTCACAGACCAACTTTACTCGGAAGCTTCGGGCTTATGTTTCCGCCGGCTCCGTTGCGGCGGGTGCGGCGGCGGGGGAAGCGCACAGGTGGCTCGGCGGCGGCGGGGGAAGCACACAGGTGGCTGTGCGGCGGGAGGGAAGCGCACAGGTGGCTCGGTGGCGGCGGGGGAAGCGCACAGGTGGCTCGGCGGCGGCGGGGGAAGCGCACAGGTCGCTGTGTGGCGGGCGGGCCCTCTGTGGCTCCGCCGTTCCGGCGCAGCGCCCGCCGGGGCGGGCGGGAGGCACGCGCCCCTCCTCGCCGTTCCGCCCGGAAGCACCCGCGGCGCCGCCCGCGCGCTCCCTGCACGTGACGCGAGCCGCTCCGCGGGTCACGTGGCGGGTCCCCCGCGCGCGTGCGCTCCGGCAGCTGTCATCGCGAGGCCGGGACAGCGCCGGCCCGACCTGCGGCGGCCGCTGCCCGCTGGAGCCTCTCCGGGACAGGTGCGGGCCGGGCGTGCGGGAGCACTGCGGGGCTGCGGAGGCCGGGCCGGAGCGCGGGTTCCCCGGCGGGGCAGCGCCGACCGGGCCTGGGGCGGGGGCGCGGGCGGAGCGGCCCAGGTGCTCCCCGGGGGAACGCGGGACCTCCCGCGGCCGGGACGGAGAGTCCGCCGGGGGCTCCGGCCCCCAGCGATGGGTGGTGGCTGCGGCCGAGGCGGGGGAAGCGACAGCGCAGGTGTGGGAGCGGCAGGTCTCGCGTTCCCGTCCGCGGCCGGCGGGACCGCCCCGGGGGGTCGGGCGGCTTCCCGGCGTGTGGGACGTGTGTGGACGGAGCGAAACAGAGCGTTACTTCTCTCCGTGTCCTTCGGCGCTGTGCTGAAATTACTGCGGACTTTTCTTACAGTCTCTTTTTCGTACAGCTCGTTCGTTCCTGCACGTCGCTAGGACTTTGAAGCTGTGCGCTGAGTAAAACGCTCAGTTAAGCGCCGGTTCCACGTGTGTGTGTGTGTGTGTGTGTGTCTGCGGTTATAGTGCTACACGCTTTCGCAGCTGGTTTTGGGATCAGGGCTCTATGCCACCTTAATAGTTTTCTCTTAATGAGCTTTCTCTCTTCTTTAGTGGATTTTAGCTGGCAATCTGAAATGTGAAGTGCATGCAAAAAATTATTCCTGATAGCTTAACTGTGTTAGGAAAAATACTGGACGTCCACGTGTTTGTTAAAAAATGATACTAGCTCGGAGAGTAAACAGCATTTATTTTTTACGTTTTTAAACTACATTTTTGCAGATTTATGATTCCTGCACTATAGTTATCAGCTGTAGCAAGGGAAGTTACCTGGTGGCTACTAAACGAGCACATTTTAAGCTGAAACGTTTTCCGCAAGAATGAAACTTTCTAGCAGCGTAATGCAGGCTATTTTTGTGACTCTACAATGGGGGGTTTATTTTTGTGTCCGTGGTAAAACATTTGTCTTGGGCTTTATCCTTATTTTTCCTTGAACTGTGCTAACTAACTGATTGCATTGCTACAGGTACCTTCCAAACACAAGAAAATGGAAAACACAAGCGTGATTTCCTTTTCAGTAGTTGAAATGATAGCAAATTGAACCAGTGCCCCTCATGCTTATCTTTCTCTCGGCTTCAGTTTGGAGTGGTTGTTGGTGCTACTGATTGCTGGCAGCTGATGGTTTTCTATTAACTAAGTGCAGATACAGATGTGTATAAAAGCAATTTCCTTTCCAGGGGCTGACCCAGGAAACAATAGGTATCATCCAAATACGTGGACATGAGCTGTTGGATTAGGATGTAGATGAGAGAAAAATCTTTAGTCAGTATTGGTTTTGAAAAGTCATTTGTTTTGGTCTCTTTTTTTTTTTTTGAATGGTCAATATGATGAAATGGGAAAAAATTAAAATCCTGTAAGTTGAAGTCCTTAATTATTGATGAGTATTGTATGCAGAATTTTGTATCTCTTGACCTGATTTCTAAAAAATCAGTGAAATAGTTCTTCACTAAATCTGAGTGCACAGTCACCAGTGATTCAAATCAGAAAATTATGTTGTCAACTTCTAATTATTAGAGTATTCCTAAGGTATTAGTAGGAGACACAGTACTTAGTAAATAAAAAAAATACTGAATTCAGTAGATGTAAGCCTTTCTGAGTTTAAACAGCCCTAGATTGGTCTCCTTCTTAGTTCTGCAGTTAATTCGGTTATTTACTAACTATATTCTTAGGCTTCTTTTGCTAAGATATGTTTCATCAGCATGATGCTGAATAGAACATGAATGGGATTTGTGGTGGTGTCAGTTTCGGTCAAATATGTTTTATAAAGGTCATATCTTTATCTTACTATCCTCAGTGTAAATTAGAAAATCCCACCCTAATACTTAATTTTAGTCCACGTGAAACTGTATTACTATAATTCTGTAATACAAGATATTTTCAAGTTCCCCAAATGATTGCAGGACTCATTCGAAAGGTGATGTCCTGAAATGTTAAGATTTTAGTACTTATCTAGTAAAAAAATCTCCATAGTCATTTGATAGCTTGATATTTCATATCTCAAAATGAACAAGTGATGTGTTGAGTTCTTTTCTTGATTTTCTTTTAGATTCACAGGCAGACCCATAGGATATTTTGAACATGCGCAGTATTTTTTACTTGCAGGATAGTAGTTGTTGTGTAATCAAATCACATAATGAAGGTGTCAATAAGAATTTGCTCATCCAAAGTCCAGAATGTGTTATAAACTCTTATTGTAGTTTTGATTTATGAAAACTTAGTATTTACTTCAGGTTTCTTGGATGCCAGTGTGTGTCATAAAAAATTCTTCTGTAGGCTTGCACTTTCCTCCAGTCTGTTCAAAATGTGGATTGGCACATAGTGGTTGAGTTGTTGGCTTTGTCATATTGCTGAGTTATGCAAATACTCATTTTTATCCTTAATTCTGTTTACATCTAACATTTGTGGGACAGTATACCCTGAAAACTGAGGACAATATGAATAAAAAAGGATTCAAAAACTTGTCAAGATTCTAAATTTAAGATGTTAAAATTGAAAAATTTAAAGTACAAAACACATCTCTGTGAAAACTGATCATTAAAAAATTTCAGTGTCTAATCAGTTTCATTTTCTGATTTTCAGACATGGTAGGATAATTCAGATACAGATATTAAGGGAAAATATTACAAACAAAATGCATTCCAGTTCCTTTGTGACATTTCTGCCTGTAAAAGGTGGAGTCACTCAATGGGAGCTGTTGGGATTTAGCTCATTAGACCCGTGATTTCCCACTGGGTTTTGTCTGGTAAAATTAAAAGGCCAGTTACTAGCCGGTAGCTTGTCTGTAGGAAGACCTAGATAAGTACTTCTATTCATGGTAGATGTTGTATGACAAAAATTACTGTGCTGAGACAGGTTTTGTTTAATTTTCAGAGTTTATTTCTTTGATTAAAACAATGTGTAAGTTGCTAAAATTGTAAATGAACCTATGGCTTTGGAGGTGGATAAATTGTTTATAATCATAAACTGTTTTGAAAAAAAAGAGTAATTTAGGGGAAATGTGTAGAAGTCTACTAACTGTGCTATTAATAAAGGCATAGAAATAAAGAAGTGTAAGAAACTGCCTAGGTGTTAGGAATCAAACTCTTCATGTTTGGTTGGATTCAATGATGTATTTGAAGTATTTGATTTGAATCAGTGATGATAAATATTTCAAAACTGACATCAGTAAAAATCTCTAAAATTTGGGAAATTATTAATAATAAAAGAAAAGCTTTTTCTTAACTGATTTGTTGCCTTCAAGGTTGTAGGTATGGCTTATATTTGAGTTGGTGAAACTTCTAAACTCACAGTGTTCTTTTGTTGTCCCTGTGGAAATCTCCTTTGGATTTACTGAGATACACAAATCTTTGCAGAATTGTGGAATCATAGAATATCCTGATTTGGAGGGGACCCACAAGGTTCACTGAGTCCAACTCCTGGCCCTGCACAGGACACCCCAAGAATCACACTGTGTGCCTGAGAGCATTGTCTAAAAGCTCCCCTGATACAGCTTCATGGCATTCCCTTGGGTTGAAAAGGATATATATGTTTTGATGTTAAGGAGTTGTGAAATCCAAGATAAAACAGTATCTTTTGGGAGGAGACCTGCAAAAGCAGTTAATTACATGCCTTATAGTTAGGGAGATTTTTTTGAGAAATGAGTATTGGCAGAAATGACAGACTTAGTAGAACTGTTTGAAAGTGCTTAATCAGGAAGCAATTCACATCCACCACCTGCATTTTCTATCCCCATGAATATTACAGACTGCATTAGCAATGAATATTTTTCTGAACTTTTGGGTACTTGTAAATTAGCCTTTCGAAAACTGAGAGCTAGGCCAAACCACTGTCTGGACTCTGTGAGGGCGGCACCCAGATATGATAATATTGTTACACCATTGTGTGAATTCATAGTTTACTTGCATCTTGAATAGTGCTTGCAGCTTTAATATCCATTTCCCATGACTAAAAATAATTTACTGGAACTGATAAAGATCCAGAAGTAGGATAAAATGATGATCAGAAATGTGGAATGGATTTTCTGTGGTGAGACTAGAAGTTTTCAGCTTGGAAGAGATTCACTGCATGAGACCATGGTAGAGATATGTAAGTCATGTGTGGTCAGAAAGCAGTTTGATAACTCTTCCCAGTGTGCACATGAGATATCAGATAAAACTAAAATGTGAAACACTCAAAATATACAGAGGAAGATACATCACCTAGCATATTGTTGATTGTAGAGTGCTATGTCATGAGATGTTTTGGATACTAAATGCCTACAAAGGTTCAGAATTATGGGGAAAAAATCATCAAACTCCACCAAATGCGAGTAATATCTTCTACGCCTAAGGACTCCTTGATATATACATTGCTGACGAATTAGATGGTATTCTGGAAAAGTAAATTATAAGCTACTCCTACACTTACTATTTACTAGATGTCTGCTGTTAGCAGCTGTGGAAACTTGATAGATCTGACTTGCTGTTGCTGAAGCCTGTGACAGGCTCCTTCGGGCTAGGACTATGGATTTCATACGTGCGTTTGCATTAAAAAGAAACATGGGTGGGGCAGGGCAACCTGCCCGATAAGGCCTAGAATCCGATCAGACAATGCGAACAATGCAAGGCATTATGCAACCCATCGTGCAGGCCATCAAGCAAGTTCTACTGCTGGAGCCGGGGTGCTGTCTTGATGTTGAATTATGCTAAAGCCAGCCGGGTTCACCAGGCTTCAGATACACATCCTGGTTTTTGAAGCAGGATTTGACAGATAAGCTGGTTACTGGCCTGTAAATCTGTGACTACCAGTCCATCATTTTATAACTATAAAAGCCCAGTCCAACTTTCACGTGGCAGACTCTTCCGCATACTTTCTTGAAGTGTGGAGCTTTTCCCGTGAAGCAGGGACGCATATTCATGGTTACTCCCCAGGGATTAAGAGAAATCTGCCAGCTATCTTGTATTGTGAATTATATCAATCTCTACTTAATGGTTGTTTCTTTTGCTAGCTTTGATACAGTTGCTTTAATATAATTGCCTTGTTACAGTGCCCTATACCCCTTTATGTTATATGATGCCTCACTAGAAGGTTTTTAGCTTTTACACTGTGTAATACATAATTTTGATTAAGATCTTTTGTCTGTTAAGTTGTCATAGTAAATAATTCATTTTATATAAATATATCCGTTTTGCCGTTATTAAAAACCTGTAGGACAAAATGATTTAATCACACCTCTAATTCTTTAAATTGAAACCATTGACAAAGTCTGAGGCTAAGATAGGATTGATTAAGTGCAGCTAAAACCTTCTCTGAGAAGAAGTTTAGAAAGCATGGAAGTCCTTTCTGTACCTCCTGACTGTACAGCAGGGCTTTTTTAATAACTTGTCTAAGCCTTCCACTCTCATCTGTGACAATGGAAAAAAATAACAAAAGTACTTTTTCTATCTGTTTTTTTTCTTCTTGTCCTTTGTTCTAGATCAGTTATTTCAAGATGTTTTTCATGCTGTGAGCCTGGTGTGGGAGAAGAATATCTATGGAATTAATTCAGGTAATTTTTCAGTTCAATATTTATGGGTTCTAATTAGGCCATTTTTATATTTTTGCAATATTTTTTCTGTAAGTCTAGTACCAAACACAGAAATGCAAATTAGAAATGAAGTTTGCAAACTACTCAGAGCTTTATAGTAAAATTGAGGTGGTTTCAGGAGCTTCAGATTATGGTTACCTACCCGGATTCCTGTTTTTTTAAGTTTTTATAGTCTATTAACATTGTCAGTGCTCCTAACATATTAAAACTTAATTGATTCTTCCTGATAATGGTGGATGTCTGAGGAATGCATACCTAATTATGAGATTTGGCCTCATCTCACAAACACAAAACTCTGTGTCCCGTATATTTCTTTTATTAGTTAATACAACCAAATAACCTAATTGACAGATTTGGAATTTCTGGTAGATAGGATCTTTTTCAAAGCCAAATACATAAAGTAGGCAGATATAATTCGCCTGCACATTTACTGTGATTAAAGGAATAATTCAAACATAACTGTGCAAAACCAAATTACATTGAGAATTAACTGTTTGCATGCTTGGTAATAGTTGAACATGCAAACTGTGCTTTTATGTTTTCAATTACCTAAAAGTAATTCCTATAGCTAATCATGGGCCGTGCATTCACGTAGTGTCTTAAATCTTTGAATTAACTTTGTCAAACAATATGGGGAGTTGCATGGTACCTACTTAGAGATTATGCTAAAAGCTTTAAAAATGATATAAGAAAATGCAGAAGTGAATCTACCCTTGCATGTTTACCTGTGTTGTAGATAAAATTGCTGCTTAGACTATTGTAGATTAAGACATGGTTTCCAACTAGTTTCCTTTCCAGCTCTTGCAGAGATGATGGTAGTACAGACATCTTTATTTTGCAAAACAGGGTATGCAAACAGGAGGTTACAGGAGCTAATCATAATTTTCTTCAGATTTTGTCAATAAAGTGTTTTTATTGAATGATTCCTAAAAAATGGCAGCTAGTACTTCATAATGCGAACGCTTATCTTGTATTCTTTTAGTTTGAAAACTTTTGTATCTGATAGCTGCTTTCAGATATATTACTTCATGTTTTTCAGATCAGCCTCAAGAAAAATGTGGCTTTTTGTGCATGCCTTTCTGTGGACAAAGTTATTTTCTTGTTATTAGCTGTTTAAAAAAAAATTGTCAGAGTTAATTCTTCCTCAAATGCTTGTTATCCCATAGTTAGCATGGTTGAAAATTTGCAACAAAAGAAAAAGGGAAGAATGTGTATTTTAGCTAATTTATCTGTGGGAAGGAATGACCTTCAGAGATTTGATCTCTTCCTTCTTTTTCTCTTTTACTGGAGCTTGCTTTGTGTGATTTGTTTAATTTGGATTGCTGAGTAAAGGTTGTGGATGTTGATATTTTATGTATTAGAACACACTGAAATAATAAATAATCTTATCTTTCAAAATATGAGCACATGACACAGGTATGACACGAGGGTCTGTAGTTACTTAGCACTTTGCCATGTTAGCTAATAATTTTGTGTATAGTGCAGTAGACCGAGCTGGCTGTGCTTTTCTGCCTTTCTTGTTCAGCAGTGTTTTCAGTAGAGGGGCCAAAGTGGGCAGTCAAGAGATGCCTCCCACAAAGCATCTTTGGAAGAAATAATTTGTCAATATTTTGTCTTGTGTTTTAAAGTCAGAAAGTTTTGGTTACCTGCTGCTGATGGGTGGATCTTAAAGTACTGGTTTGTTCATCTTACACTAGAAGGAAAAATAAAAGCAATACTGTAATACTGAAAGTTGGTTTCATGTAGCAAAGGCTGCAGGTTTTTGCGCATTTTAACCACCTGCAAATTAACACATGCTGTTTTTCTAGTGTCTTTCATTCTGGTGTAGTATTTTCTAGTTTTGTGAATTGCTGTTATGCTTGTAATTTGATTAAACACAATTGCTAGTTTTCTGTGATAGATATCAAATAAATGGAACTTGGAAGATGTTTTCCAATTCTGGGAATAATGTATTCTGTGTTCTTCCAAGGGTGTGGAGAATTCTGCATCAAAGAACAATGTTTAACAGATAACTCTTCCACCAATACATTTCATTTAGTATTTTGACACCTTTAACAGTATGGCAAATTATAGGGATTACAAGAACCTGTTCAATGTTTTGGCAGGGGAGACTTGAAATTGTAGCTGCCTGGTACTAATTTGGATAGTTAAGCTTCAGTTGACTGTGGTATGGTATAGAAGTTCTTCTCTTTTCTTAGGATACAGAAGAAACAGTTCTGTAGATTCTACACTTAGCAAACAATCATGCAGGATACAATGTGTGATCAAGCATGTAATATGGTACACTTCTGTTCTGCAGTATCAGATCTGTTATGTTTATACAGGCTATGCTGTTCAAATATTACAGGAGTTATTTAAAAAGCACTTTTCCCTGTCATCATAGGTGGTGAAATGTGTTTGCATCTTGGATTATGTAAAGAATTGTAGCATTAATTAGATTTCATCTTGATGTATGTGAGCTTTTCTAGCATTGCACTCCGGTGTTTTGGTTTACATTCAGTAGGTTTCTTGGACCATTTACTGGCACAGATGTGGATGGCTGAACTTTGCTGACCTCACGTTTTCACTGCTGTAGTATTAAGACAAATATAGCATTATTATACTCCTGGCTGATGATTTGAGTGTTTGAACAAGGCCTTACAAAGGCTGTAAACTCTTTAAAAGGAGGATCAGGTTCTTTAACCGAGCTTTTTTAGCTGGCAACTTTGACAAACTATATGCTTGTATTTTATCTAAATTTTGCGTTCTTTAATCAGATATCTTTCAAGACATAGGCAAACTACTTGGTCACCAAGAAATTGAAGCTTTATGGACAGGCTTTGCAGTTTATTGGATCAGGTTCATAGCTTAGGCTTGTTTGGCTAGAGCTTTCCCATGATTAGCTAAAAAAGTTTCTTCCAGTGTTAGCAAAGTACTAATGCATGCTAATTTGAGTGGAGTATATAATTTATTTACATTGCCCTCTGCTTTTCTAGATAGTAATGGGCATTTTTTCCAAGTGCAGTACTGTCTTGCAAGGGGACAGAAAATGGCTGATTACAATGCTGGTATTAGGGATTTAAAATAACTGTATAATTTCCCTGTGTATGTATTACTTGTCTTTCTATTTCATAATGTGCAGCCTAAATGGGCATATTGCCCATTTATTTTTATAACTTGGTATTTACTAATGTCTTGCACATTTTCATTGTGTAGTAGTAAACAAAAACTCTGAAAGTTTTATTTCTCAGGTTGTACAGCTTTGTAATATCAGAAAATAAGTAGTTATGCATACACCTCAGTGTAATAGTTGAGTCAGTGATAGTGTGATTTTACATTAGAATGGCCTCTTAGTAGTTATGCTCTTGTCTGCAAAAGGACCTCTGGAAGCCTCTTAACTCTTAAACTCAACTGTACATTATGCTCTCGTCTTAATGATTTGACTAGGGTATAACTGAATTTTTGCATGTGAGAAAAAGAACAAAAGTAGGCATTGTTTGGAGAAAGTATATAGGATTCTTGAATTCCAAAAAGTCCTTGAGAGAATTACGTATTGTGTTAGAAGTTAAGAGAATTTAATTGTAAGCCAACATTTTCTGGATGGTTTGTTTTTTGTGGTAAATTTAAAACCTGTAACTCAGTACTGATGCTTTCTGTTTCAGATTGGCATTTGTAATGAACAAATGCAATAATTGAATGTGAAATGAATTTAAGAAGTTCCCACTGATAGATCGTAGTTGTAAGGGTGTTAAATTACTAAGAAATCTTAAAATGAGTAGCAGCATGTGATAAATGGACTTCTAGCATAACAATTACTGCATAGCCTTTATGATCTTTCTACCTCCTACACTAAGGATGCTATATAGTAGAAACTGTTCAAGGCATGTTCTTACAAAGACTGTGCTTATCAAAGAGCAATTTTACACAATACGTTAATGAAAAGGCACTTTTTATTTTGGAAGAAGAGTAATAGAGGAGCACGGACTGGACAGTTTATTTGCACCAAAAGAAGCTGACTGGTCTGTGTGGTCATTGCTTAGGGGCCTAAGATGCATGGAAGCAGGTAGATAAAAGATCCTGTGAAATACAGGATTTGTATTTTTCATACTGCAGTGAAGCTGGGCAAAAATTCTGCCTTTCCAATGCTGTACCTGTGTTCATGAGGAGTTGAAAGTTGTTCTGCTTGTGATAGATTACACTTCATCACCAGACAATTCAGTTATATGCTTGCGTCTTGTCTTAATTCCAAAGAAGCAGAAGAATAATTTTGTTAGTATATTTGCAAACAGGATTTTAGGAATCTAGTGGCCAGAGAAGAATGCTGATGTGTGATAGTGGAAGCTAACATGTAATGGCGGGGCCCTTGTGTAACAAGGAATAATGATGGTCCTCGTGGGTGGTGTGGACAAAGAGAGTTTATTTCAAACTCCGTGCGGTTTTATTCCTTAACACCATGTGACTTCTTTAACCAACCAGGTTACTTATGTCAGGGCATGCTCTCTTGGGCTGTTCTGCCTCTGCACATCCCTTGTGCCTTTAGACATGCCTCCCACACTAACATGAGTAAATCACTGGTTATTAATTTGATTAACAATCTTTAACTTAATTTCTTCATTGTGGCTAGGTGCTAGAATATGTTCAGTTTGTTTGGTACATTCCTGTTTTTAAAGCAACTCAGCTATTAAAACTGGTATATTTTGGTGAGATGTTTTAGTTAAGAGGAATGTTTATCATACCAATTCATGTCATAATAAGCTTGTTGTGGCTGGCGCTTGAAATCAGACACTGGTCAAAATCATCTTGCAGCTTTTCTGGTAGCTGAACTACTTGGATATGTCTTTTTCTTGTCTTACTGCTTTGCAGAAGGAACGTAGGAAGTCTGATGTATTTCAGACTTCAACTGCTTCAACTTAGACAAATATAATTCCAAAGGAGATAGAGCATCAGGTTTGTTGGAACACATCCAGGCACTGTTGTTTCTC